TGGAACCACCCTGGCACCTGCCCCAGGCACCCTGTTGCTTTGAAAGACCCAGAAAATGGAGCTGGCAGGGTCTTGGCTGGCTTGGCCAGATTCAGGGTGTGACAATGTTTGGATATGGCTCCCTCTCTAACCAAATAAAGAATTCCGAATCACTATCCACCTCAAATTAAACAAGTCTGAAACTATATGGCCTTCAAGTCGTACAGGAAGCATTTTACTTTGCATTCAGAATTCAGACTTCGCCGTGCCAATGTGCCAATGCTCACTGATGACCATGTCGGCCTCACGGCATGAGAAATTAGCAGCTTGTTCCACATGTCTGAACATTCACATGCGCTTTCTTCTGCTGTGTGCAAGACCTCCAAACCAGCTGGATCCAGCTGGCTGTGGAGAAACTGACCAATTTCTCATCGTACTCCAGAAAAAACAATGTATACTTAGTTCACTACTCCTTTACACTGACAATCCAAACTGGGACCCTACAAGTGGGAGCTTCTATCACTGAGACTTCACTCCTTGCGAACGATGTCTCTCCCTCAGCTCGATTCACCTGTGAGATTCGGCGATAAGGATTTCCACGAAGGCCTCAGTGGCTATTGGACCGGTGCCCGATGATGAATTGCCGAAAAAAGAATTGGTTTATAAGCATCATAAAGCTACTATAAGCTACTTAAAGATGCTTTTTGTTCCGGGTCTTTGTCGCATGTACTAGTACGAGTACTAGGCTCATGTGAAGGGTCAGTTGGCTACATCTGCAGTCCAACACTCCACTTTCTTGAAGGTTGGAGACCGGAGATTCTGGGACCATTTCGGAGTCATATTGACTTGAACGTATATTTGGGCTAGATTTGGGTATAAGTATGTACAAGTAGCATAGTAGTAGAGCTGGTCTAACCAAGTCCTGGATGGCTTCTCGGTTCGTCCGATCCAGGTCGGGAGCTCTTTCCTTGTCTCCCTACCCGCACTGATTCGAATACATGGCCCTTCCATTCCGGCCAATTACGTCTCTCTCCCCCGGTCGTTTTGGCTCGCTCGGTCAGGCGAACAAAGCCGCGACTGACGAAAACGACCTCTCTCAACTGAGCCGGACCCGGTTCCGGATCCATAGGGTCTGAATATGAACGTTCTTCAGACTCCAAACGTCCACTGCTCCGGCTCTCCCCCGTCCAGCTCCGAAGCGAAGCGAGTCCGGCGGATCGAAAGCGAAGCGGCGGAGCGCGACAGGGAAAGCCGTAGTTGCTGCTCTCCGCCGGATTCCCCAAACACTCCCGGTAGCCACTCACACCTGGCGACAGCTAGTTTCGCTTTTGGGGTACTTAAGAGTACTTAGGATGTGGGCCAAACAGGATGTGGTCCAAGGGATGGGGATAGAGCTTCTTCTATGCCTTTCTGAAGAATCTGACCCTCCCTGAAATCATAATGGAAGTGGAGTTCACCATCTGATTTTAGAGGAAAATGCTCATGAAAGGGACCATGTTCTACTTCCACGATTATTTGAGGGAGTGTATGCCAATGTGCTGAAAGTTTGATTGACTCAAAGCAACTGCAAAGTTACAAGCCCAAACAACCAAACATCGGACTGGACATGTCCAAGGCCGCCGTAACATTTCACTCAAACACACGTAATAATAGACACCCAGAACTCCTGGGAATTATTATGGAAGCGAACAATTGCACCAATTGGATGATGATTTTCCTTTACGAACAGGTGGTGAACTCCACTTCCAGGATGATTCCTGGGAGTGTAGACCATCAACAACCCCCAGACTGTTGTCTCCTTCTCTCTGATGAATGGTGAATCGCATCTTCAACTTTTAATGGGCTGTGGGCTGTGAGTCCTCTTTGTAAGGTTTCTGCTGCAAAGCAATTGTCTTCATTCAGTAGCCATGTCTCTTCATTCACCTGATCTGGACTTAAATCATGAGGAAGAGTCAGCCTGGTGTGGCTGATGGTCTTCCAAATGTCTTCCAACCGATATATACCAGCACCCTCCAACAGGCTGTTAGTTGAGGGTCGTTGGACCCTAACCTGGTATATAATATATATATATATATATATATCCCAAAGAGGAACGTTGCAAAAGGCGTTGGGCGCTCGCTTGGTTGCAAAACGGTTCATGTCTTTGGGGGTGACTGACCATCCCCATTTGACCAACCATGGCCGACCATCTCTGCCTACTCTGTGCTGCAGCAACTTACTTCTCGCCCCAAGGAGTGCGACGTTATGCCACGAGGAGAAGCCAACAAAGGACAACGGAGGGCATCCGACGAGTTCCACAATGTAGAAGACTCTGTTACACACTGGCACATCTTGCATCTTCTGATCTCCTCCACTGTTTAGATTGGCACATGCTTAGACTGGCACGTACGTCTGACCAAGCACTGGCAATCTCCCCCTAGACTCGTGTGACCAAGACTCGTGTCACAACACATTGCCATTCCCATCCACTCCCTGATCTTTCATGCTCGTGGCACATGTGTCGACTTCCACGATGTTCATGAATTCACCCCAAACAAACAAACATACCCAGCGCATCCCGGTTACCCATATATGTGGTAACCAGGCTGCGGTTCCAGAACCAACTCTTCAGTTCCAACAGCTCCCCGGTTCCAAACTCCAGCCTTGTTCAAGAAGATCATCATGGTGCCCCAATGAGGACAAAATCATACCAAAGAACGCATGTTACTTCACAGAAAGATGCATGACTTTCATGATTGAAGCATGATATGTAGACAACAGGGCCTAACACAGACCTCACCCCAGCTCCTGTCCCAGTGGTTGCACTGTTTTCAGCTACGTCCAGTCACGTTGGGCCACAACTCTGAGCAACGTCCTGCGCAGAACCCTCAAGGACATACCGGAGCCAGCACAAGCTATGCACAAGGGCTTCAGAGACCCCATATAATCCTCACCTGAAAAACAATGAAACCAACGCATGTTGTAGCACTCCCTCCTTGCATCTAGCAGGAGATGATGGTAGGTGTGCAACTTTGGAGTTATCAAGAATGCAAATTTGCTCATTGATGCAGCTTTGTTTGCTGCAGCAAGATAGAAACTCATTGCAGTCATGCCATCGTCAAAAAAACTATCAGCTTCATGTTGGGTCAAATATTGCCCCAATCTTTCACAACGGTTCTGCCAGTGAGCAAACGCAGCCCTCAGTTTGATGCAAACATTGGTTGAACAAAAAGGTACTGGTCAATTAATAACATGCTCCAGTTCTACTTCAACATACCCTGTATGCAGCTCAACTTTGTTGTATAATGAAAACGTTTTGAAGATATATACAAGCTGCACTGTTGCAATGCCAAGAGTGTTGAACTCTGCTTCATCTTGGCTGTACAAAGCGCTTGGTGTCACCAGCTGGTCTCTTTGTGCCGGGGTGCTCAGCTCATCCTTGGAAGGCTTCAGTTATTAATTTTTGGAGGAGAACAACAAAACAATCAATCCATATGCAGTAAACAGGGGGTTGTACTGAAAAAGAAATTTCTTCAGGAAAGGAGCTGCTAGCCACGCTAGAATCACTCTGGCGTTGTACGCCTTTGCTTTCAGCCAGGGATAGTTTTCAGCTTGACCTGTGAGGTGTAGAACCTTTGGTGTCCAGCAGCGTTGTGAACAGCTTACACCTGTTTGTGAACACCAATTCCGAAATCGGGAATAGTCAACTCTAATAGACTCCTCCAAGGGAATGTGAGGTCTGTGTCTGGCCAACATCAAGATGCCTTCGGCAATAATGATCAAGTAGATCCCCAGATTCAAGCTGTGCATTGCGCAGAACCGCCTTGAGAGCCATGAAGCATTATGGTTAAGTTCATATCTTTTTGTCAACGCTACTGGGGACTTGTCAGAGGGCAACACGATCCTTGTGGTAGAAAAGGTAAAGGCTGATGAAAGCAAGATTCAACATGCATACGGAGAACCCTGGGACCGACACCAGAGGGTTTGCCTCCTCAGGCAAGCACTCGAGAGTGAAAGTGTTAGTATCGCGTAGCGGCCAATCCACATCAATGTTTGTGTACAAGATCCCAAACCTTCAGGGAGAGAGAGAGAGAGAGAGAAAGAGAGTTAACTTTAGGTGCCCATAACACTAGCGGTTGTAAAGAACACTTGCAATTCGTGAAACTTCTTGGGGAGCCTGGGTATGCGGGCTGCGTAGCACCGGTGGCAAATCGCACCACATTTCCAATATGCCCTCCAAAGCTCAAACAGGAAGACGTGCCACTGCCAATCCCCTCGAATCTCTGTCATGGCAAAGGTCATGCTCAAGTCCAGTGGCATGTTTTGCGCTTTCCTTCCTATTTCAAATCCACATGCCAAGGCAGCCGATGCAGTTGGTCTTCGACCGGTCAACGCGATGCGCAACGACCAGGCAGCTCTTTTGAGAATGGGACGGAGGGTCTCCTCGATCCATGAGGTTTCAGAAAAACTGCACAACAGTGGACCACATATTCATATTTTTTTGAGTACATCCCCTATGCAGGAAGGACATACCTTTTAAAAGACACATGAATATTCATGAGCCAAAGATTCGATGGCTCCAGTTCCAACAGCTTCTGCAGAAGAAACAATGAAGAAGAGAAATGTCTTCTTGAATGCGGAACCTTGAGTTGATTGGAGCCAATGATTGACACCCCATGCCCTCGTTTAAGAAAAACACATGTACAAGCACAGAAGTGTTGTTGAATCCAAGCAACCTTTTCGCCTTTGCAGCAAGGGGGATTGCAGTGTCAAAGCAGTAAATTTGTCTTGGTAGGTTGCGCTGTATGTTGCTTCGTCCCCATAGATTGCAATGGGAAAAGCAGTGTCCCTTCCAGGGTGGTTGGCTGCCCAATCAGCGCGAGATGCCCAGTGGTGCCAATACCTCCTTACCAGGCCAGGATTGTTGGATTGGGGAGCAGCAGAGGAGGTCAATTTGTTTTTGAAGGGTCAGTTGTGAAAACAGGGTTTTAATTGATCGGTTGATTCAGGAGGCTGCCACAAGCCCACAACACACTAGCTACAAGTAAATGAGTTGCATGTGAGGCAAGTTTCATAATCTCTTCCTGCGGAACTGCAATCTTCCCTGTTCTCCACAGGTAGTCCAACAGTTCATGTGGGTCGTACATGGGCAGTTTCTTTGGCATAGTTTCCTCCCAGTTGGGATCCTTCAGCACCACTGTCTCCACCCATACAGGTTCCAAAGGCAAACATACAAAACGCATAATGTCCCGATGGGCATTGCCAGCGTGCTTCACACGAGCCAGCTTGGCTGTCGCTTTGGACACATTCTTCTCACCAACCTCCTGCAGGGAGTGAATGCAAAGGACCGGACCCACATGAAAACAGAAGTAGTATTCAGAAGACTATCATATATTTTATGTTTAAAACATTGCTCCGCCGGCCCTATGTCCTTCACCACGTTTGCTGCGGATACAACGCTGCTTCTAGCAGACTCCGCGCCCTCACCAAGACGAGTCATCCTCAGAGGAAATTGGTTTGAAAGACGAATAGCTTATTTGTTGGGACCATACACCCCCAAAAAATACACTCACAAAGTTCTATTGTCCATTGCTTTGCGCAGGCAAGGTGCATATGCTGAGCAAAGGCCGCTGCAGAGATATTGGCATCTGCGGGCGTGTGTCGGGGGGAGGACACGCATGCGCGCACACACACACACACACATGAGCACCTGCGGTTCAGGGAAGAAGCTTGCGCGACTTTCTCCCCATTGATCCGGCGTGGCAAGAACCACGACCTTCCATGGTAAATTACGCATAAAGATCAGGATTGCTTCAACATAGCAACACTCGCACCTGAACTGGGGCCTAATCTGGCCAATCACAGCAACACTTTTCGTGGGTCGAATCTTGAAACAGCTTGAGACGGTATACAGCCAGATAGACCCCCCTAATCACGGTGCTTTTGCATCGCTAGGTGGCTTGACAAAATACGCATGCCTGCAATGTTCTTGCCAGCTGCACCCACAGCAGACCTTTTAACTGCGATCATGAGGAAAGAAAATATAACACATTTAGCTCCCAGTGCAGCTTTGCTAGAACCTTCTCAGGAAATACCCATCTTAACATTATAATATATATACCATCACCGGTCGGCAACTCTCACTGCAGCTTTGCATGCTACCCCTGTACTAGGGCTAGGTGCCCAAAGAAAGCAATCGCTTGCAAGGCAGTCTACTTCTTCTTTGCCTTGGACTTCGCTTTCGCAGGATCCTTGGTCCTAGTGTGGCTCCTGATGGCATCAGCAACCTTCTTGTGGAGGTGCAAGGCGTTGTTGAGAGCCTTATAGGATTGTGTCGAGGCTTCAGAACCCCAAAATCCTACCTAAAGACTTGGAATCATTTACGATGCTTTACATTTCCTTTTGAAGGCACATGCATAAAGTGACTGAGTTTGGTGCGACAACACACTAAACATATATATAATTATAAGTCTAAGTGCATGCACATATCACCAAGCGAGCTACCTTCAAGTTCTCCGCCAAATCAATTTTAGACGCTAAAGACTTGACAACATCCTCCTTCCGCTGGCCCAACGCATGCACTGAAAGTTTGAGATCGTCAGCCAGGGCCTTCTTGAAGTTCTCACTCCTGAAACATGTACCAACTGCCAAATCACAAGATCAGTTCAAAAATGATTTATTACATACCGGGCCAAAATGCTTCCAAGCAGCACTTGGCCAGACAGATACAACTGATTCCGCAGCTGCTCAGACTCAGTCAAGTACTTGTTGGCAGTGTTGTTGGCCTCAAACAAAATCAATATTCACTACCTAGCCACACAAGAGTTCGAAATGATTGAGTGAATGCATTTTATACACGGAAAGCTATGCACACGCATTTAATCAAAGAAACCTGCATGGCTTGTTGTTCCGTCGTTTTTGGCTTTTGTTCTCTGGGCTTCTTGGGTGACTTCGGCAAACGTTCCTCAATCGCGCCCTCTCCAGCTCCCTTAGGCATTGTATCCCCCCGGGTTCGGCGAGCAGGCACAACACCATCTCATCGATAACATCATTCCTGAACTGTTTTGCAAACGAATTCATTGTACAAAGGAGTGGGTTTGTGTCTTTGAGACATCAACAGCATGTATACATAAACAATTTGTGCACTATGCGCTGAAGAGATTCATCCTGTCATGGAAATCTTCCTCATCCACATCAGCCTCCCCCCTAAATTCTGCTTCTGTCTCGTGTTTCCGCTTCTTCTCTTCGGTGACACCAGCAAAGTTCTTGAATCTCCATAGATGTTCCGCGTTTGGAAAGCCAGGGTTCCTGATGCGCAGGATGAGAAACAACATGTTAGTTCCCCGTGCAACCAACACAGCTGGAAACTTGCAATTGCAAAGCATACATGCATAATAAAGCCGCTATACAACACTATACAGTTGAGTCTCTTGATGATGAACATGCCCTTCTTGTTTGGTGGGAGCGCTTCTTCTTCACGGATATGGCGGTTCTTAAGGTCATCCGCCAGGGTTTGGCCTAGCTTATCAACCATGGTCTTGTAATCCCAGAACTCATATAATTCGCGACGCTGATTCTGCATTCGCTTTCGAACACTCACGACAAGCGTGCAACTCTTCCATGCCCCCTTGCAAGCCAAGAAGTGCAAGTAGAGCTGGTGCATCCGATGCTTGCCTGCACCAAAGGCTATATAGCTATATAGGTAGCTAGCTAAGAAAATCAATGAAAATCATATATGGAACAAATGCATGCAATGTGCGAAGGCTGCAAGCACATATACGCCAAGTTGCTCTTCTCGGCTGCGATCAATTGGTCAGCAACTTCTTTCGGAACAGGTGTTTTCTTGCCTGCCCAGGTATATGATAACAGGCAATAACCTTTATCCTGCCTGTACTGCTGGTTTTCAATTGCTATATAGCATTATAAACATTTTTTCAAGACAATTTGACTTGATCTTATTTGAACCGACTTACGTGCGTAAAAGCATCAATATTTGGAGGCCAAGGTACTGCGAATGCTTCTGTAGAAGCGCATGTAGAGAGCTTCCGAGGTGAGGGGAAATCCATGCTTGTTGCACCGCCAGGCCTCAAGCTCCACTTCAGCGTGTTTGGGCAGTGTTGGGCTCGACCGGGAAGTGGTCTTAGGTGCACGCTCAGGTGTGCTTGGCGGCTCTCTTTTGACATGTGCTGTTGGTGGCTTGGGTTGGCGCTGCTGCTTCTGCTGCTGCTGCCGCTGTATAATGTTTCTTTGCTCAAGCCAGCAAGCAAAGGCGAGCACTTCCTCAAGGTCATCCTCCGACCCAAACTCAAACTCCTTCATTTCCGTCTTTGTCAGGCCTATCTCCTGCAAGAGGTAGGTTTCAAGCAACGGGTCTTTCTTTGCTTCTTCCACAGCTTCAGCCAGTTCTTGGTCAGACATGTTCACAAGCTTCTCGCGAGTGCTATCTTCAAATGCCTGCAGTAGATCTGCTATAGTGTTGGCTGACTCCTCATCCTCACCAGGCCCCGGCCCGGCAGCTGAAGCTTCCTTGACCTCAGGCTGTCCACCTGCTGCAGGTTTGGCAGGTGGAAGGTGGTTGATTGCTGGTTTTGCATCTGCTGCTGGTTCAGCAGGTGGAGCTTCATTGACGACTGCTGCAGGTTCAGCAGCAGGTGGAAGATGGGTGTCTGCTGGCTTTGCATCTGCTGGTTCAGCAGGCGGAAGATGGGTGTCTGCTGGCTTTGCATCTGCTGGTTCAGCAGGTGGAAGATGGGTGTCTGCTGGCTTTGCATCTGCTGGTTCAGCAGGTGGAAGATGAATGTCTGCTGGCTTTGCATCTGCTGGTTCCGTGACGACTCCTGGCTGTTCACCTGCTGCAGGTTCGGCAGGTGGAAGATGGATGTTTGCTGCTGGCTTTGCATCTGCTGGTTCAGCAGGTGGAGCTTCCTTGATGACGACTGCAGACTGTTCACCTGCTGCAGGTTCGGCAGGTGGAAGAGTGTTTGGTTTAGGAGGTGGAACGTCCTGCTCTTCATCAGCATGCTCAGGCTTCTTGGTTGAGTTGGGGCTGCTGTGTTCATGCAAGGAAGAATGAGGAGAGTCCTCGAGCTGCTGGGTTGGCATGCGTTCCTGCATCATCCGCCTGACTTTGCCATTCTCGTTGGCTTCGTCTGTGCGAACTGAATCCATATCACTGGTGCTGGCATGGACGGAGTATTGACGCTCTCCTCCGCGCGCATCCCACTGCCAATCCCACCAGCTGTAGTTGTGCCATTTGGCCTGGTGCTGAAACCAGCCCCAGCTGGGATCCTGCCATGCATTGTCTTGCCACCAAGTCTCCCCTGTAGCAAGCCCTTGACTTCGCTGGCTGTTATGCCAGCCATCATCATTAAAGTCAAGCTTCCTTTTTGCCACGGTGGTAGGGACTTCCGCTGGAGGTGCTTCCTCTGTGGAAGCAGCAGTGCTTGGGGTGGTTCGATCTGCAGCGACATGATTCGGCCCTGCTGGCATCTTGGCATCCAATTTTGGAGCTGGAGTGGTGAGAGGTGTGATTTCAGCAGGCAGGCTGGTCTTAACATGTGGCTCAGTTTGCTTTGGATGTGCTGGCTGGCTGTGATCGGAGAAGTCGCTTGCACGCTCTTCATTCGGGGTCTCGGCCTGGGGTACTGGTCTTTTTGTGCCGGAAGCGGAAGCTCGACCACCGGGGTTCTTCTGCTGTGGTAGGTTCTCGAACGGGTCTTGGGGTCCCACAGGCTCACTCTTCTTAGACGGTGGTGGTGGCGGCAACGGGATAAGTTTCTTCGCAGACTCTTTTGACTCTTTTGGCACCTTCCCACTAGTGTCTCCATCATTGTTCTTTGCTAATTGCTCTGCCCTTTCCTGAGCCCGCTTCATAATTTCTTGGATTCTGTTGGGATCACTCTGGGCAAGTGCAAATTGCTTGGGTTGTGCATCTTTCCTCACCTTCTTGGGCGCCATGACACCTGCACAGATGCTTGAAACACTCGAATATGTTGCAGTTTTGCATCAAAAAGCAGCCACGTATAAAGCTAGCTGTGCAAAACAGGTCAAATACGGCGGTTCCTGGTTACCAAAGTCCATCTCACGGTTCCGGTGGCTATCTCACGGTTCCGGATGGTTATCTAACGGTTCCAGGGGGGCTATCTAACGGTTCCAAGGGCTAAATCACGGTTCCAAATCCCACCCTTTCTCTGTGTTGTCCAGCCTCACAGCAGCAGTTGAAGCACCCGCACCCGCCAAATAGCAATTTGAGCTTTAAAAGCACCAAACATCACCAAACAATCAGTTCAGGCCAGGATCCAACCACATTCTTCCACATGTTTCAGCCCAGTGATGTGTGTTGAGCTTTTGAAAACACCTTTTCCCACAAAGTGTTACGCAATCTCTGGCTCACCAATTTGGTTTTCTGTTATGAATTGCCAACTCTCACACGCTCAGCATTCACCAGCACAATTTATACACTTGAGGGCTGTAACAGTGCAGCGTGAAGTAGTTGGAAACCGAAAAGCATATCAGAATTGCATACATGACCTCCCTGTCATTCAGGCTTTTAATGACATGGGTGTGTGTGCACCCAAAAACAGCAGCGTGCCCATGCAGGGTCAGTATTAATCTTTGCGAACTACACCTAGCAAATGTGAGACACACTTGATATGGTATGCGGTCATTGGTTCGATCCTCATTGGGATGTGCTTCCGAGGTGTGAAGTGGCCAAGCTTCACCTCCTGCTTGATGAATTTGAGGATCGGCTCCTTAGCTCGTGGGTGTGCAGATGGGCAAAATAATTTCAGTCGACAATATTATTCTCATAAGGTGTCCTCTATCAGCATTCGAGTTCGCAGTGTGTTGAAATTCTGCAAAGACATGCACCAAGAGTGGTTTTCCAGTCAACCACTGTAATTCGATCATGTTTTGTATATGCTTGCAAGTGTCCAATTCAGCATCCTCCCACAAATCCGTTGGCGCCTTGCCACAGAATCACCAACATGCGCTATAGGTGCCGCGTGTATTGATGAATCCAGCCCCCAATTTCACGCACGATGAAAGTTAAAGATTGATTGACGACGTAATGCCGGCGTTCAAACATGTTGGAAGGTATCTGGGAATGTGTTTGCTGCTGCCATGGGGAGAGATGTCGACAACAAGCTGCCTCCATAGTCGGTCCTTCTTTCATCTTCAAGGTGTCTGGCAGGCCCGGGGTAGTATTGAGGTCCTAGCTCATGCAAGACATTTGGAAGTATGCAAAGAAGTCGGGAGAGCATATAATTTGACAAGCTTGTTGGTGATGTGAAATGGCAAATTCGACCAGACATATAGATATTGTTCCACAAACCCTGCAGTTGAAGCAAGGCTCGATGCACCAACGCTTGTGTTTCCGCGCCACAGCTTTGCAGAAACCATATGGGTAGGCTCCTGTGTCCTTCAGCATGGGTCCACCACTCCTGGGCTGACAGGTGAACCAGCAGGTTGGGGCTCCTATTGGACACAATCGATCGGCTTAGAAGCATATATTATGCATATATTTTATTTTAATATTTCCCAGTGCATCCCAGTTACCACTTATAAGGAACCAGGGATTCTAGGTCTATGGTTTTAGTCTTTGGAACCAACTGGTTACCAGCGCTAGTACTAGTGGTAACTGGATGCCCTAAAAAAGGCTTGTGAACACAAATCTGTATGCCAGCTAGCCACACATTAACCACATCTTCACCTTGTGGGCCTTTCCTCTTCTTGATCGTTTTTTTTCACCACACCTGCAGAGCTCCACCCAAAATTCTTCCGGTCAGCCTGGGTAATTCTGGCCTTGAGGCTCATCATGTGGAGCCATGGCCTCAATGGTTGCGACTTCTTGGAGTTTTCAGGACAACGGGGTGCCAAGAACCATCAAGCACAACTGCAGACTTCCCAACAGGAGCCAGCAGACCCTAAAAGGGAAAAAACAGACACCTCCACAATTAGATAAAACGGCCGATATAGGCCAACAGACATGCTAGCCAT